CGGGAGAAAGAGTTATGATCGATATATGTTAATTTTATTTTTTTAAAAATGACGGATTGGAATAATATTTTAAAAAGAAATAGAGAATATATCAAAGCTAAGAATAAAATAAAGACCCAAGTTGAAAATAACAGATTACAACAACTCGGATTAACAGAAAATCTACAAACTCTATTTCAACCCATATTAAAATCTCAAGAGGATATTAAAAAGAAATTAGCTTTAGAACCCACATCTCATATAGAACCCAAACCGATTGAATATAATGGTATTATAATTAGGACAATAGATGATATAAAACGTCTTTTTTCAAACCCTGACCCAGATTTACCAAGAGTATTTCACCAATCGTTGATGATGAGGGTTTGTTGTTCAATGGTTTTAGAATAAGATTTAGTGGAAATTCACCACAATTCAAAATCGACACAAAAGATTATATATACACATTAACGAAAGGATTAATAGATTTAATGAATGGCGAGGATGTTGAAATTGCCGATTACAAGGATTTAGTAGCATACTCAAAATTTCTACATGCGATCAGAAAGTCAGGACCCGAAACAAGAAGATTGAAAGAAGTTGATTTTTATATAACAAAAGTTATTGAGCAAGAGGATGTAGATGATTATGCAGAAGATTATCCACCAATCATACAAGAAATAGACGAATTCGATGATATGGTGGCATCTGGACAAGGTATAACGTTTTTATCCGACGACAATAAAGAATTGCTTAATAGATTAGAAATAATATTAGCGGCCATGAAAGAAGGTCATCGATCTGACAGACAATACAAAGAAGTCAATGCCATATTAAAACGACTTTTGGAGAAAGAAATCATCACTAAAAAAGACTATATAAACGTCATTAAAAATGTCCAATAAAGAACAATTGTTCGTTATCATCTCGAATAAACCAGACATCAAATTGTCTCTAGACTACGAGTATGAACTCGATCGCAATAAACAGTACGAACTGGGATTAAAGTATTTCTCCGTTTACAATTCCATTAGAAACATCAACGAATAAAACAATCAACTAAAAATATCGACGGATAACGGAGTTACGTTCGAAACCATAAGCTTACTACCGGGGAGCTACGAATACGTAGCCATCAACGAATACCTATCCGAATACGCAGGAAGCGTGAACGGTAAAAACAATATCGAATTCGAAGGTAATTTGAATCTGAACGAAATAAAACTGATCTTGAGAAATAACAGTCAAGTCGATTTCAACGTAGAAAATTCGTTGAATGCGTTACTAGGGTTCGATAAACGAATATACGCGCAATCGACATTGGCGCCGCACAAGGCCAACATCGAGAACGACATCGACGTGATCAACATTCACTGTAATTTTATCAACGGTGGATTTTTCAACAAGCACAAACGCCAAATCATATACAGCATACCGACTTTTACGGTGTCGATCGGATACAGAATTATAGAGAAACCGTTTCAAACGACCTATTTACCAGTCAATTCTTTCATGATCAAAGATATAAATCTGGAAATCAAAGACGGTAAAAACAGGTTCATTGACTTTGGCAACGAAGAAATTGTCATTCAACTTCATTTAAAACAATCTTCATTCTCTTCTTGAATAGTAAGATAATCGAAATCATCAAATTCATAGTTTTCGTCAAAACTATACTCATCTTTGTCGTTGTAAGGATACATAATTCCTTCACTGTTTGGTGGTTTTCTTTTAACATTATTCAAATAACTTCTAAAAACTTTAGTTTGTTTATCATTTGGAATAACTACTCCATTGGTGAAACTTTTTTCCCATGGTTTATTAAATTCGTTCGACACATCATGTCCGCTTGCTAACTGAACGTAATCTTCTACACTTATCTTATCTTCATCTTAGAATAACCTTTAAACGTTTTCTTTTCTTTTAAAACACCATCAGAAGTCAAAACGATGTTGTATTTGACTTTTGGTGCTAAATATAAACCAAATATAATTCCACCGTCACCGTAATCGTTTTTACCTTTGCAATAGTCTTTTTCNGGAGACCAAACCAGCTCTGTTTAGTTTTTTCCAATTTTTGGATG